GAAGCTTACACAGCAAGTGTTTCTACCAGCCAGGCCAGGCCATCTTATCTACCAGACACAACGGAAATCCTGGCATCTTCAAGCACATGCCCAACAAGTCATGTGTCTGGGATTGAATCAGCCACTTGTGGAATGCTGCTTATCACCCTGTTCTCAAAGGGTTTCTAGTCAGGCATCTTTTCCACACAGGCCTGAGTAGACCAGGTTGACTTGAGGAAGGAAATCTTGGAGATCTTCAGTAGCCTTGGGGTTATGGATAGTCCTATTCTGAAGGCAGAGGGAGGAAATATACAGGCTTTAAAACACGTATTGGGAAAAAAGGGACAAGCAAGATCCACAAGAGCTGGAGAAAGACAAAGAAAATGTACAGCTAGCCTAAAATGGGTAAAGAGTCCAGTGAGATCTTAAGGAAGCTTGTGGGCGATTCACAGGAAATGGTTAATGAAACTAGCACAAAGAAGCTGCATTTCACACCAGAATCTCAGAAATAAGATGAAAATGTATGAGATTCGAAACTGGCTCTCTCCCATGAGTCCCTGGTGCTTGAGGGATGCAGATGACATATAAACTCCACATACACACACTGCAGTTATATCTATTCTGCTTTTTATGTTAGAACATTTGTTTCATATTTTGAGGATGCACTAAATGTTACTGTGGTCATATGAAGCATGCTGCCTTTTACCCTTCTTCATTAAATTTTTTAAATGATTCATTGACAATCATGTATACACTGTGCGAAGGTATTTCATTGTGATTGACTTAACAAAAAACTAAATGGCCAACAGCTAGCCAAGATTTGGGGGGCAGAGCAAATGCTGGGAAGAGGAAAGGCAGTCTCGGGGAGACGCCAGGACTCAGGGGAAGCAGCATGTGCAGTACAGAGTAAAGGTAATAAAGCCATGAGACAAAAAAATAGACTGATAAAAAATGGGTTAATTTAAGAGATAGTAACAGCCTAAGCTATCAGCCAAGTCTTCATAATTAATAAGACATCTCCATGTGGTTATTTGGGAGCTGGCAGGCGAGACAGAAAAATCCACCTACACAGGTGTGTCTGTGTGCAGATATGTGCATGTGTGGGGGTGGGTTAAGAGGCCAGAGGTATCAAATCCCCTTGGCACTGGACTTACAAGCAGTTTTGAACCTCCTAATGTGAGTTCTGGGAGCCAAACTCTGACCCTCTGCAAGAAGAGTACATTTTCTTAACTACTGAGACACCCCTCCCGCTCCTCTCCATAGAATTTTATCACATCTTTCTGTGAGAACTAGCTAATTTTCAGACATGTTTTACACTCAGTGGGGCTTCAGTTTATCACTCTTGGATAATATAATCGTGGGGTGAAAGAAACCTGAAGTGTATGAGCAGTGAATTAAAGTCAGCCACAAAAACAGCTGGTCAAAACTCCAGCCCATATAAAGAACAATGCAATTTACAGGTTATTGGCAAGGAATGTTGGTCTTGCTTGCTTGCCAACCAAAGGCAGTCATGTGCCGAGTATGCAAATGCAGCTTATAAACTCTCTCAGCAGGCCAGATTTTAAATTGTGCAAATCTAGAATGAATTTTCTTGATTTAGAGAAATCACAATGTTTTAACTTTTTATATAAGGTGAGGTTGTTATGAGTTTCATATCTTTATCTCATTTGCACAGTTCCTAGTTACGCCAAGTGGAATCATACCATATTTCTTTCATGTATCCTTTGTTTATTCTTTTAAAATTTCATTACACTTCCTTAGTACACATATGCACATGCACATGTGTATGCACGTGTCACAGTGTAAGTAGACAGAGGACAACTGGAGGGGAATTGGTTCTCTCCTCCCACCATGTGGGTCCTGAAAACTGATCTCCGGTTGTCAAGCTTGGCACCAAGTGCCTTGACACTCTGAACCATCTCACTAACCCTTGATTTACTTCTTGGGTTTTTATCCAGGAAATCCACCCTTTGTCTTTTTTTTTTTTCCTCTGTCAAAATCCTAACATCTTCTTTCTCTCTCTAAATGGTCTCATCCAGTTTTAGCTTTAAATACTGTCTAGATTAGATGAGTCTCACAGATACTATTTCCAGCCTCGGGGAACCTTATATCTCTATGAGAATGATAAATGGGCATCTCAAAAACTAATAAGGCTCAAACAAAACGTTTTTCTGAGGGTTGTATAGTCCAGACTGGCCTCAAACCCACTATGCAGCTGAATTTATGTCCTTTTACCTCCACCCCGAATGCTGGGATTAAGTTTCCGTGGAGCTGAGGAATCAAATCCAGAGTTTTGTGCATGTCAGCTAAGCACTCTATCAACAGAACTACACCACCAACCTTGAAACCAAATCTTTAGGGTCCCTCTTTGTTCTCCATCTCAGTAAATAGTGACGTCATTTACCCAGTCAAAAATTGCAGCTTAGCTTTGACTCTTCTCTTGGTTCATATCCCACACTGAACTGCAGACTCCTATCTTTCAAAATCATAATCTGAACCTGACCACTTAACTAGCATCACTGTGTGGTCCAGGCCACACCTCTACCCCTAGCCTGACAACTGAGGAGGTCTGAAGCTAGTAATAGCTGAGCAGTGGCAACTTCCTCTGAGCATGCGCATTTGTAACTTCCCCTTGAGTAAATCGGGAGCCTGCAGAGGAGTCCAGAGACTGATGACGCCATGACATCAGATAGCCTCAGCCAATGAAGGAGAGACAACACTGCATTCCAGATGACTCCACCACCTAGGTCCTGGGAGGGGGTATAAAGGTCTGCCTAACCCTGCAATAAACACGAGTCTGTTCTGCCACTGGCCGCCCAGAGTCTGTGACGTTGACTCTATGAAGGCCATCATACCTCCACCTCCAGGGTGTGCTAGGGAGAGGTAAGTGACAAAGGTCTCCCAAAAGTTACCCTATGAGACCTCTTGCCCTCATTTCTATTTTCAGGATCCCAAAGAATGATTTTAAAGTACAAGAGCACATCAGACTTCTCCAGTAAAACGCCAACTCTTTATCATAGCCCGTACACAAGTTCAGCCACACTGGCCGCCGTCCTGCTGCTCCACCACCACACCAAGTGCAACCATTCCTATTTGAGCACTGAACACAAGAAGGTTCTACTTCTTGCAGTTGCTATGGAGGCAGGACATTTGCCTGCTACGATGAACAAGTTTCTCCCAAAGAACACTGTGGAGCATGAAACAATTTAATCACAAATAAACATGAAGGTAATTGTGAAATACTATTATTTCACAATATTAGTGGAATACTAATAATAATATTAGTGGAATACAATCTATTTACCTTGGAAAAAGACAAACAACAACCCCCCCCCCAAAAATAAACCAGAGCTATACGAAGGAAAAATTAGTTGCTTCTAATTGAGTCTCACTGGGTATACAAACCACACTTAAGGGCAGGCCCCATGCCCATCAGTAGATGGCCAGTCCAAAGGGAACTCAATGATATTTTTGGAAGGTTTTTGTCATTTGCTTATAAATATAGTTTTCAACTTTGAGTCTTTATAGGATTTCTGTGTGTGTGAATGTGTTTGTCTCTACATCTGTTTATCTTTCTGGTGCTTTTCCTCTGGCTCTTTTTTGTTGCTGATGTTCCTATTCTGGCTTGATTTTTTTGTTGTTGTTGCTTTATTATTTCTTAGATGCCTGATTGTTTTCTAATGGTGTGGTAAGGTTTTGGGTGAGTGGGGAAGACCTGGAAGAAGTTGGAAGAGGGGAAACTATCATAAGAACATATTGTGTGGAAAAAATATATTCAATTAAAAAAGGAAAGAAAAGAGCATTAAAAAAAGAAAATATAGCCAAGTGTGGTGGTGCATGCCTTTAATCCCAATACCCAGGAGTCAGAGGCAGGTGGATCTGTATAATTTGCAGGCCAGCCTGATATACAGATCAAGTTCCAGGACAGCTAGTGCTATTGCACAGAAAAACCTGACTCGAAAAACCAAAACAGGAAAGAAAACATATAGTGAAAATAAAACAGAGTCAGACTGGTAGTAATAATTTAGAAAGAAAAGAAAACGCAAATATCTTAAAGAACCACCCTGGGGGTCTCAGAGAACGAGTATTTAAAACCCACATTACCAACCTGTACACACGTGAGGGCACTGTCTAGTTATCTCATTTTAATGTGCTAGTTAACTCAGACACAACAGACTTTAGAGCCCTGTGGGTCTAGCAGGGGAAGGTGGACATGAACATCACAATGCAAAGGCAGGAAGGCCTCAACCCAGCCCAGGACTGCAGTGATCTGGGCACAGCAGCTATTTCTTCCAACATCTGGGTAGCTTAAAAAAGACACTTAAAGGAATAAGGTGTGTGAGAAAGAAGAGAGCTACAAGGCATCTCAAAACCCCACCGTATTACAGTGTAACTGCCCAACACCTCACTGTCTTTAAAGTATTGTCACAAAAATTATCTCCTTCAGTCTTCAAAGCAAGCAGTCCTGCAGTGTAAACAAAAAAGGATAAACTTTCCTGTTTGGAACCCCCAGAAACCACACAATTATTTTGGATTCTAATGTAAAAGTGGAAGAACCTAGATATGCCTAAACTCAGCTGTGGAGGTTTGGGTGAGAATATACCCCATAGGTTCCAATATTCAAATACTTGGTCCCCAGTTGGTGACATGTGTGAACAGGGTTAGGAAGTATGGCCTTGCCACAGGAAGCATGTCACTGCTGGCAGGCTTTGAAGTTTCCTGCTCTGTTTCCTGCTACTTATGGTTAGGGATGGGAGTTCTTAGTCGTTCCTGCAACCATGTCTGCCATCTGCTGCCACAATTCTTTGCCATGATGTCCTCTTATTCCTCTTGAAGTATAAGCCCAAATGATCCCTCCCTTCTAGAAGTTGCTTTGGTCATGGTGTTTTATCATAGCACCACACCACCTATAGCCTTTCTTCTATGGAGAAGAGATGAACATCGTTATCTGCAAATCACAGTGCATAGTCAATACGTCTCTTCACCGCAAGAGGAGGAGAAAAGCACAAACACTTACTCACCAGTGGTTTAAGGTGGTAGGAAGACACATTGGTCCTGGAGCTCTGGGCAGAGAGAGGCTTGCAGATTCTTTCAATGGATGCCAATTCCTAAAGCAACACATAAAACACCATGAGTAAACCACAGGAGGCCTTACCCCTGGAGGCTCATCTCAACCCGACTCATCTCAACAGGCACCCCACGCAGATCCAAAGCCCTTCCGCTTCTCATCCAGCCTAAATCTCTGGCTCAGCCCCATTTCCCACAATAGACTTCAGTTCACACATGGAAATGGCTCCCACAACAGTGACAGGATCTCGACACAAGAAGCTCCAGAGATCATCTGCAACAGGGTCACAAGCTGAAAGCAAGAGACCATTTAACCTGCAGAGACACAACACTGCACCTGCTACTCCGAGCCTGAAATTAAAATTCAGGAATGTCACATAAAAGCTCAGACCTCTTACTTAGGCCTGCAAGGTGGCTAAGTGCACAGAAGTCCGTGCCACACAAGCCTGGGAAACTAAGTTCAATCCCCAGAACCCACTGTGGAAGGAGAGAACTCACTCAAAAGTTGTTCACTGGCCTCCGTGCCTGTATACTCAGACACACATGCACACACACACAACAGTAATAACTTAAGATGATGATGATGATGACGACTACGGTGAATCTCACACTTTTGGCCTCCTTTCAAAGCCAAGCAGATCAGAAGAACACAGCCGGCATTCCTGTCAGACAGTGACGATCTGGTAGTGAATGGCAGTCACCCCTCACAAGCAAGCTTGCCTGCTCTGAATACCAACCCCAGCAGTCTGTGTTCTCTCTATACAGAGAACTGCAGTCTGTGTTTTCTCTACAGAGAACCGCTGCTTTCAACCACCTTCATTTACCTCTGCTTCTATAGAGAACCTGGATCAATTCCCAGCACCACATGACAACTTACAACCATCTGTAGCTGCAGTTCCAGGGGATCAGAGGCCCTCACCTGGACTTAAGGTGCATTGAACGCATGTGGTGCACATAAACAAACGAAAGCAAAACACTCAGAAACATACATCTTTAAAGAGGAAAACCCATGTACAGAGCCTTGGGTTCTAGCTGCAGCAGATTCACAAAAACAGAACAGAAAACATGATTATGTATAGACACCAGCACTGTAATGCATTAACAGCATTCAGCTTAAGATGGTGAGAGCTATTTATATCAGTTCTCTCAAAGAATGTATTGATTTGCTCACTGAGCTGTCTTACATGCCACACAGCACGAGGTGACAGAGATACAAAGTCAGCACAGCCCTTAAGTTGTTCTGAGAAAAGGCAGGTCTGGGCACTAAACAGGCATGCTCAGGTGATACAGGAGCACTGAACAGAAGCATCTAGTCAGCAGAGGCACCTAGCACAGGGGACTGAGCAAAACCCAAAGCTTGGGTGGGAGAGAAGCAGAAGAGGTGCGGATCCCAGCCCATGGGACGAAGAAGGCAAAGGCAAGGACATTTGAACAGTCATCTATTTTAGCTCTGTCCAGGTCTCTTATTACCTTGTAGATCTTAAACACCACCATCACCAACACACACACACACACACACACACACACACACACACACACACACACCACAGAAAAGCAAACAAAAACCAAACCCTTGCCTTACATAATTAACTCAGCATCTGTAGGGAGTGTACTGTATGTACACCATCATCTATATACACATCTCACCAAATGTCCACATGAAGAATATCACCAACCCAGCCCTGTCCCCTGGCAACACCTATTCAGGAGCTCCTAAGTTCTGTCCCCTAGCAATACCTATTCAGGAGCTCGTAAGGAACAGCTCAAAACCCTCCCACGGGCGATTATAGCACGCAGCTGGAGATGGGTATACTTTACCAGGAGTGCAGAAGCTCCAGGACAGTCTCTTCAAGGTCACTAATTCAGCATCCTCCAGGAAAGCACCAAGAGTTCTGCCTGGAGATTTACTCATTCTTAGTATATCCATCTAATCTCTATTCCATCATGACACCCACTGCTCAACCCCATTAAGTAAATGACAGAATGCCAGCAGCAAGAATGGCATCTGGGCAAATGAGGCCAGCCTCCCTCTTTATAGTGGCATATACCCAGTCCGCATGTTTCCAGATGAAACTCGGGCAGCCTAGTCCCAGCAGCAGATCTGCATCTCTACATGCCCCTGCACCTACCCCTTCCAGCAGGACGAAGAATCTGCATCTCTCTAGCCATCAAATGGCCTTCGAGGAACTGATTGAGGACATAAGCACTCTGACCAGGTCCCTCCTGCCCATCAAGGGCAAGCACTGCAGATGAGTGCAACGTGTGGAAATCTGCCAAGCCAGCTGAGCACTTCTCAGTGCAGATTTCCACTTCGTGGTCACGTAATGGCCTGAGCCATCCCAAACCAAAAATGGCAAAGTAAATGTATGTGCCACAAAGATGACAGATTAGAGCAAGCTGCTTTCCTGAATGGACCAGACTGGCCGGATCTCTTCCTGACATCACTAGGTGCTAGCAGGTGACCACAGAAAGCCAGCATCAGAGAAATCCAGGGCTCGTCAAGGTCAACCTTCTTGAACAAGAGGCCAAGCAATGAGCCTTACTATCCTCCAACAAAACAAAGAGACACTCCCAGAATCCCAAGAAATCCACAGCTAGCCAAGGTCAACCTTCTTGAACAAGAGGCCAAGCAACAAGACTCACTATCCTCCAACAAAACAAGGAGACACTCCCAGAACCCCACTACAACCTAAATGTCCTCCACTTGAGTCAGAAATCAAGTTTAGAAGGGTGGCAAGGAGTTTAGGGAAAGCAAAGGAACTTGCCCTCCTTTTGGTAGCCCTCAATTTTAAATGATTCATTCATTTTCCTGTAGTTCTAACATACCCTGGCCTAAAACAAGACACTTCCTAGTCCAGTGCTTGAAAAGACAAGGCCGCTTTTGTTTCAGGCCCTATCAGACACTCTGGGGCCTCTCCTCCCTCATCTGTATCCCCTTCTCTACTCTATCCAAGCCCACAGTACCAGCTGCTATAAACCATCTCAGCCACCCTCATTCCTAACAAACGTCAGCCCATCAGCCAACCCATCCTGGATGACAGAAGTCCTCATGCCCAGTGTCTGCAGAAGCCTATGCACACCTGCTCCACAACACAGACTACTTCTATTTTTACATAGCATTTTCTCCAACCCCAGTTGGACAAGGATTCGTACAATTCTGCTTCACCTTCTTATTGGTGCTGTTTGCTGTTTTCAAGTTTCAAGTTTGACCACAGGTCAAATCCCAATATAGTACCTAAAAACTCTGGTTTCTGACAAAATACACCCCAAATTTCATGCCACTCAGCCAGACTTGGCTGCTCTCTCTTTGTTCTTCTTCTTCTTCTTCTTCTTCTTCTTTTAAGATTTATTTATTATGTACACAGTGTTCTGCCTGCATATATCCCTGCACCCCAGAAGAGGGCACCAGATCTCATTACAGATGGTTGTAAGCCACCATGTGGTCGCTGGGAATTGAACTCAGGACCTCTGGAAGAGCAGCCAATGCTCTTAACCTCTGAGCCATCACTCCAGCCCTCTCTTTGTTCTTAATACAAGGCCGGAGTTGCTTCCCGAGCTCACAGCAAACTTCTCTCTCCTACCAGCAACAAATGCAGAGTCCAAGAGAGAAAATCTGCAACCAGCCTTATGACCAACCAACTTGGGAAGGACACAGAGTACTTCACCCTCCTAGTTTGTCTCCACATCACACTGCATTGGTTTTTCTATTTAAGACCACTTTACAACTTGAAACATTAAGCCCTCTGTAACCTTGAAAAGGATTGCCCGGATCACAGGGACTGTCCCCAGTGCCTACACTCTCAGGGACAGAACTCCACTGAAGCTTTCCCACGCTAGTGTGGCTCTCTCCACTCTGGTCTCAGTGCCAGCCCATCCTCTCCCCCCTTCCGCACCCATAGGCAGAGGAAGTGGGTCTTTGGGAGCTTTTCTTAAACTCTCCCACCCACTCCACAAATTTGGTAGGAGGAAGAATGAATGTTTTCAAGTTCTCTGAATGACCCAATACTCTTAAAGTACAACAGAATTAGCTTGAAACTAGCACACACACACACACACACACACACACACACACAAAATTTAGCTTCCTTTGAAAAATAAATTAGAAAAGCACGCCTACTTTAAATGACTCAGAGTGACTTTGTGCTGTTTCTTCTACTTGAATATGCACTTTGTTTCCCAAAAGTGATGGTTCCCTCCCTGCTCCCCATCCTAAGATGGTGTGTACAGGACCAGGCTTCCTTCCACAGATACCTATTCTGTCCAATTTGGGGCCCTTAAGAACATTTCAGCAAAGCCGAGCATACTCTATAAATGGCCAAAGGCCACCCTCTCAACACACTGTAATGCCACTTGCATTTATGATTTCTCCTGCATTAAAAATAAAATAAATAACAAGCTCTTTCCCTATCTCAGCATTGAGAGCTCAGAGGAAACATTACCTCTTGACCAAGGTCAGTTCTGACTCCCGAACCTTACTCTCACCAGCAAAGGTTCCTTTCCAGAAGAGCCTGCCATGGTCCATCATATTTATCTCCTTCAAAGGAGCAAGGCCCTTGTCTAACATGTTCATTCCTATAACCTCAGGACCACAACTGTTCCTGGCACACAACATGTGCTCAATTCAATATGAGGCAGCCAAGTAGGCAAGTGGGTGGAAGAGGGCTGAGGGCTCTCTGAAGATGTTCCATGACTCACTGTAGTCTCTGGGATGAATCTCCTGATGCCTCTAACCGTGATCCTTCAATTCTGTCACTACTGAGATTCTGGCTTCAATGTCTACCTCTGCTGTATACCCTAACTGCTCAGACTCAAGCTCCCATGGAGACTTGATTATCAAATTGGGATTTTCCTGTTCTGCCTCCGTTCAGCCATATACCATTTGGGGACTTCAGATATTCACTGCAGTATCTGAGCTGGCTCAAACTCACACCTGGAGCCACACCTTCATGCCCCACATTACCCCCTCTCACGGCCAATGATCTTACGGAGTGGTGCTATGGAATCCCATTCTTGAGTCTAAGCCTCCTTCCGCCAGCTCATT